TTGGCACTTCAAATTAGAGTTTCTTCTGTGCCCTCACCTAATTCACCTAACTACTGACCTGAATTGCCCTGTCATTTGTTCCCACAGCTGCTGGGCATTATATTCATTCAGCCTCCACCTCTGAAATTGAGCCTGTGAGAAGGGAGTGACATTGGTTAATAAAATTATATAGATTTCAGGTATACAATTCTATAATACATCATTTGTATATAGTATTGTGTGTTCACCACCCCAAGTCCAGTCTCCTTTTGTCATCATTTATACCCACCCCCTTTACCCTCCTTCTACCTTCCTCCGCCCCACCTCCTTTATTGTAATCACTATACTGTTTTCTGTGTCTATGAGAGTTTTTTTTTTGCTTAATCCCCCACCTTTTCACCCAGCCCCCCAACCCCTGTCCCCTCTGGCAACCATCAGTCTGTTCTCTTTAACTATAGTCTTTTGGTTTTGGTTGTTTGTTTATTTTGTTCTTTGGATTCTACATAAAAGTGAAATTATATGGTACTTGTCTTTAACTTATTTCACTGAGCATAATACCCTCTAGGTCCAGCCATGCTGTTGCTAATGGTAAGATTTCGTTCTTTCCAATAGCTAATATTTCATTGTATACATACCAGAACTTCTGTATCCACTTGTCTATTGATGGGCATTTGGATACTTCCATATCTTAGCTGTTGAAATAATGCTGCTATGAACATAGTGGTGCATATATTCTTTTGAATTAGTGTTTTGGGTTTCCTCAGATATATACCCAGAAGTGGAATCATTGGGTCATAAGACAGTTCCATTTTAAATTTTTTGAGGAAACTCCATACTGTTTTTCACAATGGCTGCACCAATCTGTATTCCCACAAACACTGCTTGATGGTTCCCTTTTCTCTGCATTCTCGCCGACACTTGTTTGTTGATTTATTGATGATAACCATTCTGACATGTGTGAGGTGATACTTCACTGTAGTTTTAATTTGCATTTCTCTGACAATTAGTGACGTTGAGCATCTTTTTTTTTTTTCATATGTCTATTGGCCATCTGTATGTCCTCTTTGGAAAAGTATCTATTCAGGTCCTCTGCCCACTTTTTAATTGGACCGTCTGTATTTTAGGGTGTTGAGTTGTATGAGTTCTTTATACATTTTGTATATTAACTCCTATTGAAGTTACGTTACTCCTAATTAGACTACAAATCTCACTCAGTTTTCGCCATTAAAACAACAACAACAACAACAACAACAAAACAACTAGCCCTGGCCAGTTTTGCTCAGCGGTTAGAGCATTGGCCCACGGTCCAGAGAGACCTGGGTTCGGTTCCTGCTAAGGGCACATGCCTCAGTTGCAGTTTGTCCCTGGCCCTGGTTAGGGTCGTGTGGGTGGCAGCCAGTCAATGTGTCTCTCTCATGTGGATGTTTCTCTCTCTCTTCCTCCCTCTCTCCCTCCTGCTCTGTCTGAGGATAAATGCAAATAATAACAAACAAACAAACAAACAAACAAAAAACTACACTTGTGTGTATATGTTTAGTGTGAGGTTCTATGTCAGTACCAAAATCAATATACAGAGCTGGTCCATCACAACAAAAGAGCTCCTTCATGTTACCTTTTAGTAAATACTCTATACCCTCACTCTTCTCCAGTTTTTCTAGCATTTGGTATTTATATTATAATATTATCAGTATGTTAGGGCTTAAATCTATCATTTTATTAGGTTTACATGGTCATAAGTATTCAGTTAACACTGAATATTGCTTTAACCCCAAACCATGATATAACTATGCCGGCAAGATTTTGGAAGGGAAACTTTTGTGTGGATAATGCTGAAAGAGGAGAGGTAGATCTTGATCTTCTATAGTAGGAAGTCAACTGACAATACATAAAATTGAAAAGAAATAAGAAATATCAGTAAAATATCAGACAAATAGAAGTAAATAATTTAAGGAAATAATAAAAAGAGTTAAGTGTTGTTGCCTCTGGGGAATGAGAATCAGGGATGGGGAGGGGTAGAGCAAGACTGCTTTTTAAAAAGGCCTTGTAGTTAGTACCATTTAACTTTTAGAACTTCGTAACTATATTAATTGATAAAAATCTAATTAGTAAATCTAAATGTTAAAAAGTCTGTTCTTTTGTTTTAGTTTTCAATACAGTTTATATTCAATATTATTCTATATTAGTCTCAGATGTACAGCAAAGTGGTTAGAAAATCATGTACTTTACAGAGTGGTCCCCCTGCTGCTTCAAGTACCCACCTGGCCCCATACATAGTTATCGTGATACTATTGACTATAGTCCATATGCTGTAATCTTTATCTCTGCACTATTCTGTAACTACCGATTTGTACTGCTAAATTCCTTCAACTTTTTCACACAGTTCCCCAATACCTCTCCCCTCTGACAACAGTTGGTCTGTTCTCTGTATCTATGAGGCTATTTCTATTTTGTTTGTTTGTTTATTTTGTTCATTAGATTACACATATAAGTCAAATCATATGGTATTTACCTTTTTCTGTCTGACTTATTTTGCTGGGTATAAAACCCTCTAGGTCCATCCATGCTGTCTCAAAAGGTAAGATTTCATTATTTTTTATGGGTGAGTAGTATTCCATTGTATATATGTACCACAGATTTTTTTATCCATTCATCTATTGATGGGCACTTGGGTTGCTTCCATATCTTGGCTATTGTAAAGAATGCTGCAATGAACTTAGGGATGCATATATTCTTTTGAATTAGTGTTTTGGGTTTCTTTGGATATATACCTAGAAGTGGGATCACTGGTTCATAAGGCATTTCTGTTTTAAACTTTTTGAGGAAACTCTATATTGCTTTCACAGTGGCTGTACCAACTTGCATTCCCACCAACAGTGCACAAGGGTTACCTTTTCTCCACATCCTTGCCAGCACTTGTTTGTTAATTTATTGATGACAGACATTCTGACAAGTGTGAGGTGGTATCTCATTGTGGTTTTGATTTGCATTTCTCTGATTAGTTATGTTGAACAACTTCTCATATGTCTAATGGCCATCTGTATGTCTTCCTTGGAGAAGTGTCTATTCAGGTCTTCTACCCACTTTTTAATTGGTTGTTTCCTTTTTAGTGCAGTTTTTGTCAACCCTGGCTTCCCATTGGAACTTCCTGTATCTATGAGGCTGTTCCTAGGAGAGATTTGTAAAAATATCAGTTTTCAGGCCCCACCTTAGACTAATCAAGCTAGGTCTGAGGATCAGGCATCAGCATTTAAAATTTATTTTCTAGGTTATTTGAATGTGAATCTGGGGTTGACAATGGCTGATTTAAAACATATATTACCAATAGACCTTTGGTAAAATGTCAGTGGCAGTGAAAAAAAAGTAAAACATGAAGCTCTTATCATTTTAAAGTCAAACAGCTTATTGAAGATTGGTATATCAGACACTTTTGGAAGACCCTGCTTGAGAGAAATAAAACATAAGCTAACCATTTGTAGATGGTGAAGCAGAGAGAACTAAAGGGGCATTAGAGCTGCCATTTCCGGACTTCCAGGTTTACCTCCTGTGATTAAAACTAACCAGAGTCTATGACAATTATATTTTCTAAGTCCATAGAGAGAAAAAAAACAGAAGGGGAGGGAAGAAGGAAAATATAACTCCCAAATTTACTGTATTTTGTAGTCCTTACAATATCATCTGAAATAATTTATTATACAAAGTGGCCTGTGATACCTTCTTAAGTCCTTTACTTGGGCTGCCATCAGCATTTAGCAGTAATAACTAATGGACCCAGTCACCAAGATAGAAGATATTGAAGCTGTGTCTGCAGAACAACATGGGACCAAAAGGAGATTCATTTTGTACAGTGTCCCAGAAGGATGTACATTCAGGAAGGCTGAAAAAGTTAGAAGACATGCCTCAATCATCATAATAGGTGACTAGAAAATGTGCTCCTAAAGAGAACCATAGCATTTTTTACAACTATACAATTCAGTGTTTTAGTATATTCACAAAGTTGTGTACTCATCACTATTTTCTAATTCTAGGACATTTTTTACTATCCCCCCAAATAATCCTGTCCCACTAGCAGTCATTTCCAATTCTCCTTTCCTCCCAGGCTTTGACAATCACTAATCTATTTTCGGCCTCTATGGATTTGCTTATTCTGGCCGTTTCATATGAATGGAATTGTACAATACGTAGTCTTTTGTGTTTGGCTTCTTTCAATTTGCATAATGTTTTCAAGGTTCAACCATGTTGTACTATGTATCAGTACTTCATTCTTCATTATGCCTGAATAACATTCCATTGTATAGATATACCATGTTTTGTTTATATATTCATTTAGGCTATTCCCATTTTTTGCTATTGTGAATAATACTGCTGTGAGCATTTGTGTACAAAGGATTTTTTGTGGACACATGTTTTCATTTGTTTTGGGTGCATAGCTCAGAGTGGAATGCTAGGTCATATAGTAATTCTATGTTTAACTTTTTGAGGAACTGCCAAACTGTTTTCCACAGCAGCTGCACCATTTTACATTCTCACCAGCAATGTAGGAGGGTTCCCATTTATCTACGTCATCACTAACACTTGTTAGTTTCTGCATTTTTAAAAAATATATGTTTTAATTGATTTTTTAGCGAAGAAGGGAAAGAGAGATAGAAACATCGATGTGAGAGAGAAACATCAATTGGGGGTATGCCTCCTGCATACCCCCTACTTGGGATCAAGCCCACAACCTGGGCATGTGCCCTGACCAGGAATTGAACCGGGACCTCTCAGTCCATAGGATGACATTCAATCCACTGAGCCTCACCGGCAGTGCTATTTTCTGTCTTTTTAATTATAGCCATTCTACTGGGTGTGACTAGTATCTCACTCTGGTTTTGATTTGCATTTTCCCTGATGACTAAGGATGTTGAGCATCTCATGTGCTTTTTTGGCCATTTGTATATCCTCTTTGAACAAATGTCTATTCAGGTCCTTTGCCAAATCACCATTTCTGTTGCAACCTGCTGGGCAAGCCAAACCATATCATTTGCAGCAATTGGCCTCAAACCATCAGGACTTCATCAATGACTACCAGCTTCCCTATTTTTGGCCCCAGCTTCCAACTCTGGACTGCCCATAGAAAGACAGATCTACTCCCCAAACCAATCACATAAGGTGCTCCATTTTTAATTAGCACACCTCTGGCTCCCCCTGCTAACAGCCTCTAATCAGGCCTGAGAGATTAAAATAGAAGTGGACAAGGCCAGACCACATATAAAAGTAGAACTTTGAGCCACAACCTGAAGCAACTTGCCTAAGAAACCAACCACTTACCCACAATAAACATCCCAGGAAGCCAGACTGCTGTAAGTCAGGCTTGCAGGAAGCCAAACTGCTATCTCTAGTGACAATCCAGGAAGCTAAACAATAACTTCTGTGACAATCAGCCCCAAATGGCAAGGACTTTATTAATAACTGACAGCTTCCCTAATTTTTGTCCCTGCTTCCTTCCATCTTGGAAAATAGGAGAAAGCCAAATTGGCTCCCCTAATCAATCACATAGGATGATCCACTTCTAATTAGCCACCTCCAGCTTCTCCAGGCCAACAGTCTCCAATCAGGGCACACCTGAAGCCTTACCCTTTTTTCACTATAAAGCTTTTCCACTCTCCTGCCTGCCTTTGAGTCTCTGTCAAACACAAATGATGGTAGCTGACTCCCTTGCTATAGCAAGCTCAGAATAAACAGCCTTTGCTTTTCTCATTTGGTTGGTCTTTGTTTATTTCCACAGGGCACACCTGAAGCCTTCTGTTTTTTCACTATAAAGCTTTACCACTGCCCTGCCTGCCTTTGAATGTCTGCCAAACACAGTGATGGCAACTGATTACTCCCTGCTATAACAAGCTCTGAATAAAGAGCCTCTTTTTGTTCTCATTTGGGTGGTCTTCGTTTGTTTCCACAGGATGATTGTCAGATAAAATATAAGCTGCCTAGTTAAATTTGAACTTCAGATAAAAAACAAACAATTTTTTAGTATAACTGTGTTCCAAACATTGCACATTTGTTATTTGCTAAATCTGGAACCCTAAGCACATGTAAAAATGTGAGTTCACACAGAGTTTTCAGAGAGGGGTATCAGATACTGGCTTTCTTAACACAATGTAGCCAAATAACTCTGCTCAGCTGAGCCCTCTGGTTTGTTAAGTGCCCATTAAATTACATTTCTATTTTGTTTTGTTTTGTTGTGTTTCTGTACCAGACCAGAGCTTACCCTCCAATCAATACATGCTTTGATTTCTCTTTATCAAGCTAGGGGACTTTCAAATTATTGTCTGGGTTTTAGTGCCAGACAATAGAAGGCATTTCCTTCTAAAAGCCCTTTTCTCCATGTGTGTTAATTAGAGTTTTTTTCAATAGTCTCTGCTGCCAGTTTCCTCTGTTCTTCAAACCCAGTAATGTTAATTCAGTCGGGCAAATCCTTGGAGATGCATGCAGGCTTCATTGCTGATTTATTTTTGTCTTGACCAGATGGCTCCAGGTTCCTGTGACTGCACAGGAGTCTTGGATTATCCTGTTTATCTTGCCCAGTGTCCAAGGTAAGGGCTGATCTTCACAAAGCACCTTTGTCGGCAGGATAAGCCATTTGCTACGACTGCTGCTTGGATACCATAACCAAAGTTATTAGATTTAATATATGTTTTCTAAACTTCATAGCAAAAGCTGGGAAATATATATATATATTTTTTGGTGCAGCCAGTGGAAGGGCAGAAGCCAGCAGGACTCAGCAGAGAGGGAGGAAACTCTGCAGGGGGCTCTAAAGCCTCTGACTGAGCCTTTCTTTGCCTTTAAGGGGGTGGCCATGAAAAAGATGAGCAGAATATCTTTAATGAAATTAATAAACATGCAAAGGAAGATGTGATGTTCAAAGAATCAATAAATCAAAAGTGACAAATGCAATATTTCACTGTGATATTGAGGAATCCAAGTCATCCAAAAGGAACTCTTGGCTTTTGTTAAAAAGTAATCCCCATACATTCCCATACAATGAAAGCTCTTATATCAGTTCAGGTTAAAGTTGAATGTGCTCTGGTTAGTATAGGTTTTGAAACCTTGAAAAACATGCAGGAAGCCACCCAACACAGAGATTTGTGGCATTTGGACTTCTACACATGTGCATGTGCACACATGCACATGCACACCATAACACATACATCCCAGGTATTATGAATTATCATTGTCAGGGGTTTCAGTCACCAAAAATGTTTATTGTTTAAAATGCTGGAAGGACTGACAATGAACACAGCTTGTCAGACTGTTGGTTCTCATTTCTAGATCAGGTCCTCTTATGGGCTACCCATGCAGTGCAGAATCTAAGCAGACTAAAAGCAGGAGCTACTTGGCCTCTATCCTGGAGAGCGCAAATCAAGAATTTCTGACTTTTGGGGTCTAACTAGCCTGCTATGTGCCTTGTTTTGGCTGGCCCTAGGGAACTCAAAAGTTAGAAAAGCAGTGTGCTTGCCTCATAAACCAATTAGAGGCTTTTTCCTACAAAAGCAATTACAACACAATACTGTCCATGAAGAGTGTTTCATAAAGGTAAAAACACGTAATTGAGTAATGGGAGAATGAATCAGGGAATACTTTCCTGATTTAATCTAGACCTTGAAAGCTGAGAACAACTGTGTCAGATAGATAGGTTCTGCATATGCTTGAGAGGGGTAGGAATCAGGAGAGGGAGTTATGGTACATTCAGTGTAAACAAAGGTAGAAGCCAGAAAGAGCAAAGAATGTTTATGAAACTGAACAAAGTGGTGTTTTGCAACATGGCTGGAAGAGGGGCTGAGGGAGAATGAAGAATAGAAAGGCAATGTTGTCCAGCTGGTGTGGCTCAGTGATTGAGCATCGACCTATGCACCAAGAGGTTGCCAGTTCGATTCCTGGTCAGGGCATATGCTTATGTTGTGGGCCTGATCCCCAGTGGGGGGCATGCAGGAGGCAGTCAATCGATGTTCTTTTTCATTGATGTTTCTCTTGCTCCCTCTCCTTTCCTCTCTCTCTCTAACATCAGTAAAGGAAAAAAAATAAGTAAAAAAAAGAAAGGCAATGTCAATGATAGATAACCCAAATCACAATAACAGTTAACTACATATTGCCTGCTTTATATTGGCACTTTGTTAAGTGCTTTTTACCCATTATTATATTTAAAGCACACAACTCTCTGAAGTAGGTATTGTTATTCCTATTTTACAGATGAGGAAGCTGAGGAACAGAGAGTTTATATAACTCAGGGTTTCAACCTAGGGTTGTAAGACCTGGTGTTGGGCACCAGAAGGAGTTAAGATGGGGGATTCTGATTATTTGGTGGGTCTGATTTTGCTCCTTCATACCTTTCTGCATTCTTGCATTAAGAATCCTCACCCTCCTTTGCCTTTTCACAGTTTACTTGAATTGTTAAGTTCCACCATGGCCATGCTCTTGAAGTACTGGTTCATGTGTGTATCTTATCTCCCCAACTCACCTTCTGTTTCCTTAAAGGAAGGGATCTTCTCTGTATCTTCCTCAGAGCATGGAGCTTAACTAACACTCATGGTTAACTGATTGATTAGGATTCCACCAAGCATTGAACTTAAGCTTCTCCCTACTTGTAACGCTCATAATGCTTATTGACGGAGATTGAATGCCTTCATCATCAATTTCATCTGGGAAGGCAGCTTTTCTGCATATGTGCCTGATGTAGTGCTGGGCACTGGCACTTTTGAGCATTCCCATTTTACAGGATGAGAAAACTAACACTCATAGAGATTAGGTAACGTGTCAAAGAATAACCGAAAGACATACTGTTAACTATCACTACACTAATTTATTTGAATACAAAAAACTAATAACCGATTTTATCTAACAAAGGATTTATCTACCAGAAAGATGAGTAAGGAAAGAAGGAAAATCATAGCCATATTGGAAATAGTAAACTTTGCTTTCCTCTTGTTGGATGAGCTGGCAACCAGCAATGGGCCAAATGGGGTGTTCTGCCATTGGGCAACATACTGTGTCCTCAAGGAAAACAGCTTAAGTTGTTTATGGATTTCTCAAAAACAAGAGTATTGGGAAGTTTTGTTTTGAATACTTGGAAAGGCTGAATGAGTATACCCAGAGTGTATGGTGTATTTTAAATACATTTGATTGATTACACAAAAAGAAAATCCCAGAGGTGCACATTGGAAAGGCAAAAATGTGTTGCTTATGGTATCATTGACACTGGCTTTCATGTACTCATTGATGTTTACCCTGGAGTTTAAATGCAATACTTATAGCCCTGGCTGGTTTTGCTCAGTGGTTAGAGCATCGGTCTGCCGTCCTGAGAGACCCAGGTTTGGTTCCTGCTAAGGGCATGTGCCCTGGTTGCAGTTTGTTCCCGGCCCTGGTTGGGTCGTGTGGGTGGCAACCACTCGACGTGTCCCTTTCACGTTGATGTTTCTCTCTCTCTCTCTCTCTCTCTCTCTCTCTCTCTCTCCCTCCCACACTCTATCTGAACAAAAAATAGAAAAAATGTCCTCGGGTGAGGATAAAAAAAATAATAATAATAAATGCAGTACTTATAGTTAAAAGAACCTGAAGTGGACCTTTCCCATGAAATTCTAAGGAAGACTTTCATTGGTTTCTCTTTCTGGTAGCCCCAGTCTCCTGACTGCAAACCACAGAAAAGTGTATCTGGTGATATTCTCTTTGAGGACGCAGCTTGCACCTGTTGAGCATATGATGTTGTTTTTGACAATATTTGACAAGTTTGAAGTGTTAAAAAGGCAAAGCCTACAGCTGTGGTACATGTACACAATGGAATACTATGCAGCTGTAAGAAAGAAAGATCTCTTTTTTATTTATTTGTTTTTGTTACAGAGATCTTTGAAAGAAAGAGATCTTTGAAAGAAAGAGATCTTTGAAAGAAAGTGATCTTTGAAATAAAGATCTCTTATCCTTTGAAATGGCGTGGAAGGACCTGGAGAGTATTATGCTAAGCGAAAAAATCCAAGCAGAGAGAGATGAGTATCACATGATCTCACTTATGTGTGGAATATAATGAACTAAACAAACTGCTGAACAAAATTAACCCAGAGACATAGAGGTGGGGTACAGACTGACAAACCTCAGAGGAAGGCGGTTTGGCGGGGAGAGATAAACCACAGAACTTACATGCATGTATGCATGACCAATGAACATAGACAAAAAAGCTGGGGATGGGGTGGGGGGAGGAGGAGGGTGTCAGTGGGGGGAAAATGAGAAACATCTGTAACAAAAACAAATTTTTAAAAAAAGGGCAAAGCTTGATGGAGGAGGAATCACCACAGTCTTGCCAGTTCTCCTGGAATCATTTTATATGAGGAGGGCCTCTGAGGACTTTGCGATGAAGATCACATTATCATTAGAACTAATAGATTTTTAAGTCAGGGGAGAGTAAACTCTTCTACAAATTGGGATGGTTTTGATTTTACAGGATCAATAGTCTATTCAATTTTGCCAAAATTTTATGGGTCAATATGAACAAGAAAATTTTTGTTTTAATGGGAGTATCTTACACAGTTTCTTAAGTATTTCACCTATAAAGTGAGATTATCTGTCAATAGAGAGTAGTGAATATAAGTAGCCCCCCTTATTTGTGGTTTTGCTTCCTGCAGTTTCAGTTAACTATGGTCAACTGGGATCTGAAAATGTTAAATGGAAAATTCAAGAAATAAACAATTTATGTTTTAAACTGTTTGCCCTTCTGAGTACTATGATGAAATCTTGCACCATTCCCTTCTGTCCACCTGGGATGTGAACCATCTCTTTTTCCAGGAAATCCACACTATATATTGAGTAGTAGTCTTCTCCATTATCAGATCAACTGTAGTATCCCAGTGCTTGTGTTCGAGTAGCCCTTATTTTACTCGATAATGGTCCCAAAACATAAGAGTAGTAGTGATGCTGGCAATTCGGATATGCCAAAGAGATGCTATAAGTGCTTCCTTGAAGTGAAAAGGTAGAAGTTCTCAAATTAATAAGGAAAGAAAAAAAAATTATATGCTGAGGTTGCTAAGATCTACAGTAAGAACAACTCTTTTTTCCATGAAATTGTGAAGGAGGAATCCATGCTGGTTTTGCCGTTGTACCTCAAACTGTAAAAGTTTCAGCCATAGTACGTGATAAATGCTTAGTTATGATGAAGAAGGCATTCAATAAGTAGGTAGAAGACATAATAGAAAATGTGTTCTGACTGATGTTAATGTGTTGTGCCAGGAAGCATTGAGCCTATATGAGGACTTGAGCAAGGGATCCTGTGAAATGAGTAGATAACAATATTCATGTAACTTTTATTACAGTATACTGTGATAACTATTCTGTTTTATTATTAGTTATTGTTAATCTCTCACTGTGTCTAATTTAGAAATTAACTTTGTCACAAGTATGTATGTATATAAAAAAGCTATAAGAAAGAAAGATCTCTTATTCTTTGAGACGACATGGAGGGCCCTGGAGAGCATTATGCTAAGCAAAATAAGCTAATCAGAGAAAGACACATACCACATGATCTCACTTATTTGTAGAATATAATGAGCAAAATAAGCTGATGAACAAAATAGACCCAGAGACATAGAAAGAAGTAGGGTTCAGACTGACAAACCTTGGAGGAGGGGGGTGGCGGGAAGGAAGAGATAAACAAAAGAATTTATGCATAGCCAAGAGACATAGACAACAATGCCGTGTGTGTGTGTGTGTGTGTGTGTGTGTGTGTGTGTGTGTGTGGTTGATCGGGAGGAGGGTGTCAGTGGGGGAAAAGGGAGAAACATCTATAACAGAAATAAATGAATTAATAAAAAAGCATTATGTGTGTGTGTGTGTGTGTGTGTATAGGGTTTGGTACTATCTACAGTTTCAGGCATCTACCAGGGGTCTTGGAACATATCTGCTAAGGATAAGGAGGGATTACTGTACTGTCCAGGTGGGAAGAACAAAATCTATTATCTTTTTTTTGGCAACATAGTATTAGCCTTTTATTTATTTATTTTTGTTAATCCTCATCTGAGGATATTTTTTCATTGATTTTTAGAGAGAGTAGAAGGGAGGGAGAGGAGGGGAGAGAGAGAGAGAGAGAGAGAGAGAGAGAGAGAGAGAGAGAGAGAGAGAGAGAGAGAGAAACATCGATGTGGGAGAGACACATCGATTGTTTGCCTCCCGCACCTGCCCTGACCAGGGCTGGGAATTGAACCCGCAACCCTTTGGTGAGCAGGCTGACGCTCTAACCACTGAGTCACACTGGCCAGGGCAGCAACATAGTATTAACCTTCTGGCAAGGGAAGACTTCAGTCCAAGCATAAAACTAACAAACCATCACTAAAGTGTTGTAGGGGAGAAAAATACTTTTTCACTGTCTTCTTAGTTAGGTTACCAGGGGGCTTGTGAATTAAACTGACAAAAGACAGATTAGCAAGAGGAAAAACAGTTCCAAACTCTTTTCTGTAGACTTACATTTTTTAGTAAAAGGCAAAAGATTTATGCAATCTGAAGAGAAACCATAGACTTATATTTTTTAAACTGTCTAGTAATATATTCATTCATTTTTATATGGTTTATCCCTTCAAAAATCTCTTCCCATAGTTTCACAGCAGCTATACCTTATCCTTCTGTCACCATGCCTGTTTCTAAGGGCCCACTTTTAGGTCATTGTTTCTAATCTGTTGTAGAAAGTAACTAGATAAACAAGCTTGTTAGTAAGTATGGGGAGGAATTCCAAGTCTGAATGATGGTCCAGGGCAATGGAACAGTTCAGCTGTAGAGCACAGGCTGTGTTAATGGCTGTTTCTGAGCTCCAGTGCTTTGCTTGGATGATTCCTGTCCCCCACCTTTGTAGAAGTGAGCGTCAGACTGACACCCCAGGAGGACATCACTGTGAACATAAATTTTACCAGAGTCTTGTGCAAGGTCCTGGTCTATGAATATCAAAGAAACACATAACTCTCTTGATTCTTGGGGACTCAATCTAATTTTGTATAGTAAAACTTCCCAAGAGCAAAGCAACACATCACACATTCATTACATATAAAGTGGTTCAGCACTAAAGGAGCACATCATAAAGATTTCCTGGAAAAGAAATGACAGATGTGCTTTGGTGAGAACAGGAGAAGGCTGTTACAATATCATTTGCAGAAAAAGGTAAAATCACGACTCTCATACAAATACAAAAATGAACAAATGCTAAATAATTAATTTTACTCCTATTAAAGAGAACCACTGTCTGATAATACTTAAAATAGTACAAACAGACTTTATTCAGGAACCTTACTGCATTAGGGTTTGTAAACCAAATTAATTTTAGACTGTAATAAAGAATAAAAAGTGCCTTGGCTGGAGAGGGGGGGGGGGGCTCAGTGTGTTGGAGTGTCATCTTGTGCACCAGAAGGTTGCAGGTTTGATTCTAGGTCAGGGTGCATACCTAGGTTGTGTGTTTGATCCCTGGTCAGGGCATGTACAGGAGGCAACCAATTGATGTATGTCTCTCACATCGATGTTTCTCTGTCTCTGCCTCTTCTCTTTCTCCCTCTCTAGTAAAAAAATTAAAAAACATTCAATTGAGCAAAAAGGAGCTGAGCTGCAGCCTGGGAGACAGATTTAGGTAGCAACCTAAATTGTGTTCCACTGAGACAAATGGGAGGCCATCTTTTATAGTGGAAGTTCCCCCCTAGGTTCTCAATTATGTCCATTTTATATAATTGAGGTATCCAAACTGTGTACTTCTAATTGGACAGGGTAGGTCTCAGTCTTTTGGTAGAAGGATGAACCAGGGCTTGCCTGCAGTGGTTGACTTAGATAGTGCATAGTGCGGGAAGCTGAGAGTTCAGTCTGAGTTTCTTCCAGTATACAGAGTACACGATGATCCCCCGTCAGCAAATGGCCATTAGACCCTATTATTTATAAAATTTGACCATGGGGAGTCCATCTCAGCAGATACATTTCTTCTTGGAGTTCACATCAAATGAATCTTTTTGCTTGGGGTCCACAGGGTAGAGACCTCAGTATAGAAATGAGCTCAATTCCAAATACAACCAAGATAGTTGGGGATTTTATAGCCTAGAAGTAGAAAGAGGTGGCTCAGTGTTGGAAAATTACTAAGAAGAGATATCAACAGTAGGAAGATTCTTGCTGAAGCCAGGCCCCACTGACCAGATAGCAAGGGTGAGGGATTCTTGCTACAACCAGGCTAGGCAGCACCCCCCCCCCCCCACAAGGATGTAGGGGTTGAGGAGAGGGCTCACATAAGCCTGACTAAAGTTTAGTGGAGGAGAGTCTTTGTCAATTCTATGATATAGGAGAACCAGGCAGATGTCAAAACAGGTTTAAAGGAAAAGTCAAAAGAACACAGATTTCTATGAAGTAAAGGAATGTTGAGATGAATTGCAAATGTCCACAAAAATGGTTTTGCCACAAGGGGGAGAAAGTTACTTAGAAATACTACCAAACAAGACAGAATTTTCCTGTCAGTTACCAAGAGCTTACAAAGAATTACAAAGTAGCTCAAAGACAATGAACAGGGCTAGAGCCCGGAAGGACATGCTACAGATGATACAGAGTTTCCCATTGAAACACAAATATTTTTCTACAAGGAGCTCTTAACAAGGTGAATGGCAGGGAAGTTAAAGAGTAGAGATTTAGGATGAGTGAGCAAGTCACAAAAAATTAACCCAGTTGGTTGAACTTGGAATATTATCAGCATGAGATGCAGTGATATATTTCAGGGTGAAAGAGAAGGTTTGATTTCAGATTTTCTAAATCTTTAATACATAGAGTTCCTGTGTGTGCATATTTGATCCTAATGGCTTTAGGATTTCTATCAGCTGATTCTAGCTGCTTCCAATTCCTGCGGGTACAGACCTTTTTATTGAGCCAGGTCTTTTTTGAAGTTGATCAGTATGAGTTTTTTTTTTTTTTAGCTTTGAAGTGTGTGTGTGTGTGTGTGTGTGTGTGTGTGTGTGTGTGTGTTGGGGGGGATGGGAAAAGAAATATGGAGATGAGAAATTTGGTATATTTCATCTTTCTACATTGGCTTTTATTTTAAAAATAATTCTCTACCCCTTTAAAAATTTCCCCTCAGAACAGTTTTGTTGAGGAGAAAATTGCACACTTTCTGCAATTCTCTTTTTCTTCATCATTTTAATGGCTACAACTTTGCTCTGATGAGGCAAAAGGAGTGGCCAGAGCTTCAGGAACCACCTGCTGAAACAGAGGGACCAAGTTACAAAGATGGGGCCCCTAAGGGGCATAAAAAGGCAACAGGAATGGGAATATAGGTAAGTATGGTGGGGGTGGAGGAGTAGTGGGAATGTTGGAGGAAGCATAAAAGAAGAGAGCTAGGAAGTCCTATCACAACAAATGGTCTAATCAGGAAATGGGAGCCAAAAACTCCACTCTTGCTAGAATGTATCCATGCAAATTCTGCTCCAAACCTTCCTGAGTGCAGCTATAAGGGAGGAAAAGGTTTTCCTTAAACTTCTTAGGGTCTGAAAATTATACTAACAACGAAGACTAATAGGAGAAAAGCATAGAAATTTATTTAATATACATTTTACATGTGTTAAAACACAAAATTCAACTGAGTAAATTTGAATATATAATTAGTGGAAGACTTTTATAGGCAAAAGAGTCCAGGGACAAGGAAAGAGCAGATTGCTTCATCTTTCTTTGGGGGATGGAAGGGGTTTATCCTACCTCACTACTGCTGATCCAGAAATTCTAGAATGACTGATTTAAGATTACTTTCCTGGGAGAGGCTGAAACTGCAATTAGGTTAGGTACTGAGTCTTGGTTTGATGATATGGGCTTAGCCCAAGTGACTCCATTTTGAGCCTGTTAACTTTTTTTTTTTTTTTTTTAACACAGGACATGGGGACCTTCATAAGGAAGTGAAAACCTGAAGAAATAGACCTGAGTATTTTTAGGCTAGGGCAGTTGTAGAAGAATATGATAAGCAAGGAGTATGAGGTAAGTGTAGTCAACTGGGGGAAACTTATCAAGGCCTGTTTGTTAAGATTGTCTCTTTGTCTTTGGAGATAAGGGTGCTCCTTTCCTCTGGGTATAGGCAGAGCACCTCTCGCATCAGGATTTTATGACCTGTTAGGGAAGAAGAATGGGGGGGAAGGTCAGAGAGACCTTCCTGCTTCTGTTGTTTTCTCAAATTCCTTCAGCTTAAAATATTCACTATGCCAAGGTGCCATATTTTAGGGTAGCTTGTCTTGATCCTCATTACAGCCAAGAATCTTTGTTTCTGTTTTTATTAGAAAATATTTTTTATTAAAAATAATCTTCATAATTTCTTCTATAATAGAAGTCCCACAGACACCTTAGGTTTTATAGGATTTGAGGGGATAGTTATGAATACTCATCGGGTAATTTTTAAAATGAGATACAATTGATATATAACATTATGTAAGTTTAAGGTGTTGATTTGAACATTTATATATTGCAACATAATTACCACTGCAGCATTAGCTAACACCTCTATCCCATCACATGATTATCATTTTGGTAAGAACACTTATGATCTAGTCTCTATTAGCAATTTGAAGTATAGAATACAGTATTGTTGACTATAATCATTATGTGGTGCATTCATTCTCCAGAACCTATTTATCCTACATAATTGCAACTTTGTATCCTTTGACCAATTTTTCTCCAGTGCCCCCTCCCTGCAGCTCCATGTAACTAACCATTCTACTCTCCATTCTAAGAGTTTGGCTTTTTTAGATTCCATATATATGTGAGATTATATAGCATTTGTCTTTCTCTGTCTGATTTATCTCTCTCAGCATAATATCCTCAAGCTTCATCCATGTTGTTGTGAATGACAGGATTTCCTTCTTTCTCATGGCTGAGTAATATTCCATTATATAGATATCCATATATAATCACCACTGTAGCATTTGCTAACACCTCTGTACTATCACATTCTTTCTCTCTCTCCTTCTCTCTCTCCCTTCCTTCCTTCCTTCCTTCCTTCCTTCCTTCCTTCCTTCCTTCCTTCCTTCCTTCCTTCCATCTATCTATCATCTTTATCCATTCATCTGTTGATAGTTACTTAGGTTGTTTCTATATATTGGCTATTGTGAACAATGCTGCAATAAACATGGGGGTATAGATATGTTTTTGAGATCCTGTTTTTCTTCAGATATGTACTCAGGAGTAGGTTTGCTGGATCATAGGGTAGTTCTATTTTTAATTTTTTGAGGAACCTCTATACTGTTTTCCATAGTGACTGAATCAATTTACAATCTCACCAATAGTGCACAAGGATTCCCTTTCTCCACATCCTTGCCAACACTTATCTCTTATTTTCTTGATGATAGCCATTTCAACAGGTGTGAGGTGATATGTCATTGTGGTTTTGATTTGCATTTTCCTGATGATTAGATGTTGAGCATCTTTTCATATACCTATTGGCCATTTGGTATCTTTCTTGAAAAATGTCTATTCTGTTTTTCTGACTTTTAAAATTAAATTTTTTTGCTATTAAATTGTATGCATTTTGAAATATATTTTGTATATGAATCCCTTATCAGATATATGGTTTGCAAATATTTTCTCCCATTCTGTAGTTTGTCTGGGTTATTTTTGGTTAGATGACATTTCTCCTTTTTTTTCCTTGGCGAGTAGAGCAAGAAAAGCAATATAGAGCTAAAATGCCACATTTGTGTCTTTGGATACATTTAGGCCATGGTCACAGAGTGCCTGTGTTGTTAAGATGATACCTAATAAAACTATGGTTAGCTTCAGTTGAACTGAGAAGTGACAAAGACTCTCTCCATGACCAAACTTTAGTCAGGCTTCTCTGAGACCTCTTTGCAAGTAGGCCTTGTCCTTAAGTCCTGTCTTTGGCCTGAATAGTCCAGTTGTAGCAAGGATCCTGCTAAGTCAGTTTAGAGAGACTACCCCACCCTTGATATCTGATCACCCTGGCTTGCCTTTAGTAAGAATCCTGTTGAGTTGGTTTAGCAAGAACCACTCTACCCTTAATGTCTCCTCTTAGTACTTTTTTGCTCATTGACCCCTCATTCTGATAATTGGCTACACATCTCCACTTGTCCTTGTTGTATTCAGAGTTGAGCCCAATCTCTTCTATTGTGATAGTCTTGACACTTGAAGGAGTCCAGAATAAGCTACTGTGTCATGAAAACTATTTTGAGAAGGCAGCACTTCAGTTCCTATAATCTCTTATTTTGCCTAAAAGCAGAGCCTACCAAAGGAATTCGATTGCCATACATCTCCTTCCTAGGAGCAACCAGGAAAGACTAACTCTTATAATTAGAGATGAGTAGTCTGCACACCTGGCCAAAATAGACATTGTTACAAACTACCATATCTCTTATAGGTTCTCCTAAGGATCCATTTGTCTTTCCAAAAAGTCATTTGTTTTCCTGTAAGTGCCCTTCTCTCCTGACTCTCTCCCTATTAAGATGGTATGTAAGCCCCCAATTCTAAATACCTCCTCGAGTCACATTTTTCTGTGAAATCCTGTATGTATACATAGATATAAAAATCTGTCTTTCCTCACCTGGCTGGTGTGGCTCAGTGGTTGAGTGTTGACCCATGCACCAATACATTTCCAGTTCGATTCCTGGTTAGGGCACATGCCCAGGTTGTGTGCCCAGTCCTCAGTGGGGGGCATGTAGGAGGCGGCCAATTGATGTTCTCTCTTATCAAAGTTTCTATCTCTCTCTCCCTCTCTAAAAATCAATAAGGAAAATAAATATGTCTTTTCTCTTGCTAATCTGTTGTAGGGGAGGAAAAACATATGTTTCTTCTACCTATCTTAGGTTCATTGGCTGGGGCCCTGCAAATTAGACTGACAAAAGACACATTGACAAGAGGAAAGCAAACAGAAGTTTATTAATGTGTGCATTTTGCATGCACATAGGAATACTCGGTCATGAGTAACCCAAAAACGTTGTTAGAAAATGGGCTTATATAGCATATTAACAAAAGAACAACATATTTTTATTTTATTTTATTTTATTTTTTGTTAATTATCACCCGAGGATATTTTTCCATTGATTTTTAGAGAGAGTGGATGGGAGGGAGGGAGAGAGAGAGAGAAACATCGATGTGAGAGAGACACATCGATTGGTTGCCTCCTGCATGACCCCAATGAGGGCTAGGGACTGAACCACAACCAAGGTACATTCCCTTGACCAGTACTGAACCCATGACTCTTTGGTGCATGGGCCGACGCTCTAGCTGCTGAGCCCAACTGGCCAGGGCCAGAGAACTTTTCTTATATCTGCTTCTTTTTAATTGCTTTCAGCTCAAAATAATCCTTATGCCAAAGTGGCATATTTTGGGGTGGCATATTCTCCTATTGTCTTTTGTCAGTTTAATTTGAAAGCTCTCAAGCATTGAAGCTAAGAGGGTGGAGGAAAAGTTTTTCCTCACTGATGTACCTATTGCAATAGTCCTGAATAATGTCTTACAATTTTAACAAGTGTCAGAATAATTTTTTTCTTTAACAGAAAGGATTTTTAAGAGTCTATAAGTTAACTTCTGTCTCAGCTTCTTCCTTTTCCTTAAAAAATCCTTTTATTGTCCGGCCGGTGTGGCTCAGTGGTTGAGCATTGACCCATGCACCAAGACGTTGCCAGTTCAATTCCCAGTCAGGACACATGCCCAGGTTGTGGGCCCAATCCCCAGTGGGGGGCATGCAGGAGGTGGACAGTCAATGTTCTCTCTCATCAGTGTTTCTATCTCCCTCTCCCTCTCCCTTCCTCTCTCTCTAAAATCAATAAAGGAAAAAAATTCTATTAAAAATCCTTTTATTATAAAAGCTTATCATATCTCTTTATTATGCTACTTGAGAGCATTAGGCAAATTCCATTGACAGATCGTTTTATTGAATTAAATTTTGGTATTTTTTAAGCTGTTATTTTTGATGCCTTTGCTTACTGAGCCTTCCCAGCACTAAACTGTAGAAAGATACTAAAGTATAGAAAGAACACTTTCTATCCATTTCCTTTGCTTTTCTGAGTTAGCAACAGCGGTTCAAGTTCCAAACAAGTAGTATTTACTGAGAAATTAAGTGCAGGGTTACTTCCATGCTGGCTTTTTGGGGGATTCAATTTTATGCATTCATTCAAGGGTGATTTTTTTTTATCACCTGTTTGCCAATCTTTGTATTAGGCATTGAGATTAGAGTTGAGAATGAGACCAACATGGTACCTGACCTTCAAAGTGCTTACAGTCTAGCCTCTAGACAAATAAAAGCCTAGACTCTGTTCAGGCTATCTCTATAGGCAGGTGCTATGTGCTGAGATCAAAACACGAATAAAGGCTTATTCTAGCCTTTGAGGAACTTACCTTGTAGGGAAGACAGACCCACAAAGAGATGACTTCCTTACATTAAAGTAAAATCTGAATTGAAAAAAGATATGTATAGAATTTTCAGCCAAGGCTCCTAAAGGATGTGACATTCAAAACTGATAGATTTTAAAAAGGAGTGGATATTCTAGAGGAAAAGTCATAAAGTCTTGGAAGAAAAAACAGCATGGTGTATAGAGAGAATTACAGAGAATTCAATCCAACCACTAAAATAAATCATGGAGCAGGGGATTTCTGGAGACAGTAGTGAAAGCAGGGGTAATAAGGACAGGCTTGGACTTTCACTTCTAGCCAATGAAGTACTTGAGGGGGTTGTGCTGGTTATCTTCTGCGTATTCCCCTAGATCCACTTTCTTTTCTTTCTCTCTCTTGCTCTGTGCCCAAAAGGCTGAGCCCTCACAGACTGCATCGCCTGGGCTCTCAGAGTTCCAGTTATCTATAACTGCATAACAAATCACTCAAAACCTAGTGACTTAAAGCAATCACAATAATTTCTTATTACTATATCTCTCATAGATCTTGGGGGTTGACTGGGCTCAGGTAGGAGTTCTCAGTTGCGGGTCTCTCATGTGGTTTCAGTCAGACAGATGACTGGTGCTGGATTCATCTTGGAGGCTTCCT